AATAATTAAATATCACATATTTAATATATTAATTTTGATTATCAAATAATCGGAGCATAAATTAATATCGTCTATAGACCGCTCTGATACCAATTGTTTGTCTCTGAATCGAATTCGGATGCGGAAGCGTGGGGCGGGGAGGCGGATCGTGTATAACAAAAATTTTCATAAAACCTTTGAGATACTCTATAGATTATATTAATTTATACACGAATAAATTAATCTCATTAATTCATTTATTAAGAACTCAATTAGGAAAAATACCTGGAGGCCAACTCGGATGATAACTTGAGTTCTGTGACCTCGAACAATCCTTACTCCAAAGCTTTGTGTTTAGAAAACTAATGTCTTTCACGTCAATTCTTAGAATCCATGAAGACGTGTGTGTGGGCACACATAAGACAAAACGGGTTACAATAAACACTCGAATTTTCACAAACACCAACGCATGCACGATGTGAAATTTTTAGAGAAATTTTTTTTTCTTCCTCTCTATTAGGGAATTTCGGCCACCTCTAAAATTAGCGCAAAAATTCATTCCGAAAATTGTCTCAAAAATTGTATCGCGCAATTTTCTATTATCCTCTTATTTATAGAGTAGAAGTCAAACTTCTAGAAGGAATCCAATCTCTATCTCCAAGATAAAGCTTGTTAATTATCTCCTATTTGAATTTGGAACAAAATCTCCATTGTGGCCGGCTACCTTAGGGGATTTTCATCCCTGTGTGGCGCCAATTTGCAGATAGGGAAGGAAGAGAAAATCATCATTTATCCTGTAGTCTAATTTTGACTCAAATTCAAATTCCAATTTAAGTTAAACTTAAATTAATTTAAGTTCTAAATTGAACAGCTTATCAAATAAGTTTAAAAGGATAAATTTAAATTATGTTCATGATTCAAATTCAAATTTAAATAATCACATTATTTAAATAATAATTAATTATTTTTTGAGTATTTAATTTTAGAATTCCGTAATTCTAAAATTTCCATTTTGTCCTTTGTGTCTGGTAGAATTGCTAGGACGATGAGGGGACTAATGGACCTATAATCCCGAGCTCCAATAAAATTAATAATCAATTAAACACTTTAAT